AATATGGCAGAAATATTTTTTTTATATTTATTACCCCCTCCCATAACTAATTTTATGAAAAAGCTAGAAATTCGATCGCATCGGGTTTAGTGATTACAATAGTTAAAAGCAATAGGCTTTGAGGAATGCAAACAATTTTTTTTTGTTTTTAATTAGACCTCCCTACCTGAAAATCAGCTTTGAATTGTAACATACAAAACTCAATAAAACAAAGATATTATTTAATTTCAAATGCTTTTATTTGATTTTAGTTGTTTTTATGAATATGGACAATATTTTCTGAAAGCAAAAAATATTTCGGTGAAAAATGAATTTTTAATACAATTATTTGTTATTTCTTTAATAATAATAGTTTTTTACATTTAAGTTGCTAAAATATTATGAAATTAGTTAAAAGCCGCATCGGGTTTCCTATGTGTCCTTATGAGATAGATCTTATTTTAGCGCGTTTTTGACTAATCAGAAGATCCGCAGTAATTAAGAAATGTAATTTTGTGTTTATAATCGGGCTGTAATTATAAAGTATGGAAGACCAACCAGAATACAATTAAGTTGCGTTATTTGAGTTAAGCATTGTTCTCCGCTGTTAAGGCCTTTACTTTTGCGAAACACGTGTGGAGAAGTTAATTTGATTTTTCAATTTCAACTGAGAAAGGTACCTACAAGTATCAGTATCATTTTATGAAATTTATATGATCTTATTTTTATATTAATCTCAGTTATGACATTTTTCCATAAATGAAATATCAAAATTAATAATAAAATGAAAGGAAATACAAATAATACAGTAAAATGTAATAAATGCAGATAAAATTATAGTATTTTATGTACACTTCTGATAAATTTTCATAAGAAAGGTACCTATAAATTAATTAGATACCTTAAGAAATATGAAATTTAATCTCACTCTTAACAGACTTATTTTAATTTCTTTATAATATATTTTCCATAAAGCACCGTAAACGTAAAGGTGAAAGATTTCCTAAATAATAACGAAGCAAATAATTTGTTCACTTAAATGTAAATTATTTCACTTTTTTCCTTCCGTAGAACAAATTATCCTCACGGAATCCGTCAATATGTCATTCATTACCTGTCAAGTGACGCGAAAGTTTATGACCCGCTTTGTTCTATTTTTAAATCACATCTTTTCGGCGCAGAAGTTAACCTTGGTTCAAAATATCTTAAATAGACATTAGAATTTCTGATTTCTTAAAATAAGTTTTGAAAAAATGATAATTGACATTTAAAAGAATTTCAAAGTGAGATTACCAGTTTTTTTTTTTTTTTTATAAAATGGAAAAAATGGTCAATTTTGCTGACTCGAAAAACAAAAAACAAGATTTTTAATGAAAATTTCGGACGTGCTAGGAACGATTAAAAAATGTAAAAAAATACCCCCAAAATAATTTGATTTTTCCTCTTAATAATAACATAAACATTTAAACGATAAAATTTTGTTTTCAAGTTCGGCATCTTTTTCATCATGCTATGCTCTTTTTTTAGCGATCTCGTGAAGGTACCTAAATAGATATATATGTGTACGTGTACGTATAAGAACTCACTTGCATTTCTATCTATGTATATTTAGACTGAGAGAGAGAGAGAGAGAGAGAGAGAGAGAGAGAGAGAGAGAGAGAGAAGGAAAGAATAAATACAGAAAGTGTTACAGTGAGATAAATAGAAGGAAATTTAGTAAGTTGATTATTTGTGCACGCAGATATAAGATAGATAGATAATTCCATATATATTAATTTGCATTTGTATATCTACGTGGTGGCTTTCCCTTTCACGGTATCTTACATTTCTCGCTCTCTTTCTCTCTCTCTCTCTCTCTCTCACACACACACACACACACACATACACAAACACACACACACATCCATATGTTTTATTGAATAATATAGACATATAGTGTCTACTTATTTTTATAATGTAAGCACGTATTTTGGCTTAACGACCACAACATTATCAAGGCGTATTACACTGCCTTTGTTGGATACAAGTTCTATTACATTACATCTAAAAACATATTCCTGTCTACCTGAACAATACAGAAAAATACTTGTTGACAGCATCAATATACTACACCATCAAAATAATAAACAAAAACTTCAATTTCTTGATGCCCTCTATGTCAAAAGCCATCAACCAACACTAAACAAAATTTATTACAAATATGGAGACAACATATTAAAGTGCATATAACATTATATACTAATGCCATTTTACGTTTATACTATTTCAAGGCAGCTCCATTATTATTGAATCGAATATTTTGCAAAAAAATCCATAAATACAACAGATAAATTTAAAAATTGTAAAATAACTATAATATATAAAACTGTTTCTATGACAACAGAACGAAGATTTCATCTCTGTTATAATAAGTTTGTATAAGTAGGGACAATATGTCTATATTATTCAATGAAACATATTTGAATAAAGATATGCCAAAATACCCCCCACACTCATATATATATATATATATATATATATATATATATATATATATATATATATATATATATATATATAAATTAATTGATTTAAAATTTCCCACGATCCAAACGTAGCAATAACTGATACATTAAATTATAGACATATTGAAAACCCAGCCACCCTGTCTAGAAAAAAATAGATTTATCTGTAACCTTGGAAACATGAATTTTGTTTTAGCTGTGTATTTAAAACCCAGTAATTTTAAAAAGTTACTCCAAAATTCGCTTGAGGATGAAATGGAACTAATGTCTTTAATTTAATCACAAAATTAAATTCGTGGCTTTTAGCTTACATTTTTGAAACATGGTTAGAACTGTAGTATGAAAAAAACATATTTTAAATCAATTAATTTATAATATTAATGCTCTGTAAATTTACATTGAGCACTATTTTTGTAAAAATAAAAATATCTATAAGAACACCGGATTATATATCTTGCTTTTTCTTTTCTTTATATATATATATATATATATATATATATATATATATATATGTGTGTGTGTGTGTGTGTGTGTGTGTGTGTGTGTGTGTGTGTTTTACCAGCCAGTTTGTAACTGAACCGGGTAATTTCGAGGAAGAAATAAATCCAGAGAGAGCTCAATGTAGATTACAGAGCATCATAATGATAATAAGAAAGACGGAGACTTTAATTATTCATTTCGTTTATAAATTTTACTTCGTGAACAGCCAGATACTCAACTCATCAGGGCTAAATCTCCTCCGCAAACAAATATATTCTTTAAAATGAATATTGAAAATAATCAATACTTCAGTTGACCAGATGTGTTTTATTACTTGTTGAGGGCTAAAAAGAGATCTGCCAAAACATTGTAGAAGAAACAAGCAAAAATATCCAATATATATATATATATATATATATATATATATAAGTCTAAAATCATTAGACAATCAACATTCTTTAGTTTTTTTTTATTATTATTATTATTCCAGGCGATTGTCTGTTTCATGCCATATCATGAAAAACTTGCTGTCAGAAATGAATGTCTTTGTTGGAAAATGACGTATTTATATATATATATATATATATATATATAGAAGTGAACATAAGTGTAGAGGCGACAGTCTGTTTCATGCTATATGTTCACTTTTATAACTTTTTATTTACACACGCTCTATCTCTGATATTGAGCACTTTATCCCATAAATATAGCACACCTTAAGACTATATTTCTTTTATATATATATATATATATATATATATATATATAATGCAATAAAAGAGCTATTAATTATATATTAATAAATATACATATTATCCTTTTTACCGGTAGCACGACTCGGAGTTTATGCACAACGGAAAATTCAGGTGCTGAGCATAGACTGACTGTTACGTAATTTAAATTTTCATAAATATATCTAGTTACCGCAATGTTGTCGGAAGTCATATATTACCCAGGGATAACAGTTTATTATTTTTAAAATGTATTTGGCATCTAAATTAAACGATATATATATATATGTAAAATTAATATTCACAACTATAAAATAATTGTTATATATATATATATATATATATATATATATATAAACAATTATTTTAATTATATTCACAACTATAAAATAATTGTTTATATATATATATATATATATATATATATATATATAAACAATTATTTTATAGTTGTGAATATTAATTTTCATATTCAGCATAAAGAGAGATAACTGGTTCTTTTAAAAATTAAAATGATTTACATTAAAAATAAATCCTGATCAACGCATTTCAGCAAATATTTATTTTTATGCCTACATGTAATCATCATTTCATTTTTCTTGCTTAATAATCTAGCATGATTTAAATGGTTTAAAATAACTAATTTTTCGACAAAGCATAAAATGCATCTCTATTTATTTCATTGAATAATATAGACATATTATGTTTATTTATTTGTATAATTGTCCTTTCCAGTTGTCTAATCAGTTTCTTGATGTTAAGATGAAATTCATCAAGGAAAGCTCCGTAGTTTTTTCCTACTCAAGTACTTTCGATCTTGTCCAAGATCATCCTCAGGGATGAAATACAAAGACAAACTTATTGTAACTGTGATAAAATCTGCATTTCGTTGTGATGGTGATTTAAAAAAAAACACCTTTGAACGCGTTCTGTTATAATTATTTTAAAACATTTAAAATTATCCGTTGTCGTTGGATTTTTTTGCAAAACAAGCGTCCCGATATAAGAGAGCTGACGGGAAATCGGTAGAAAAGCAAAATGGCATTAAATGTTTGTTATATGCACTTCAACACTTCATCTTTGCAAAAAAAATACTGCAAAATGAAAATCAAAGTTACAATAAATTTGTATTTGTAATTTACCACTGAATATGGTCTTAGATGAGATCGAAAGTACTTGGGAAGGACAAAAACTACAGCGCGTTCCTTGAGCACAAAAGTGGTGCACTACGTAAGGATCAAATTTACTATGGAGGTATATCACATCTCAAGAAACTAGATTGATAACAAGCACTTTACACTTAGTGTCATATATATAAATAGAGAGAGAGAAAAAAGAGAGAGTGAGAAAGAGCGAGAGAAACAGAGAGAAAGTGTGTGTGGAGAGAGAAAGAGAGAGAGAGGGGGGTAGAAAGGGAGAGAGAGGGGTGAAAGGGAGAGAGGGGGTAGAAAGGGAGAGAGGGGGGAAGAAAGAGAGAGAGGGGTAGAAAGGGGAGAGAGGGGGAAAGGGAGAGAGAGAGCGGGTGAAAGGGAGAGGCAGGGGTAGAAAAGGGAGAGAGGGGGTAGAAAGGGAGAGGGGGGTAGAAAGGAGAGAGAGAGGGGGGTAGAAAGGGAGAGAGAGAGGGGGGTAGAAAGGGAGATAATAATAACTTCGAAAAAAAAAAGGTCAACCAAGCAAGCAATTAGGTGGTTGGATATCTATGATTTTGTTTTTACTTTTAACTGAATGTATGGATTGTTTTATGTATGTATCTAGAGTTATAGGAAAGTTTTATTTTCCAAGCACGGTCAGCACATCATGGCCGTGTTCATAGTTAAATGTAAAAATAAAATCATCTTTGATAATGGCTAAAAGTATAGTCGAAAGAGCTCGGACATACACAACATTTGGACAATTAAGAAAATTATAAGAACACAAGAAAAATTAAATAAAAACTTAACCACATCACTTTGTCAGTCGTTTTTAATGAGACTTGTATAAAAGAGAAAATTGCTGCCCAAACACACACACACACACACACACACACACATATATATATATATATATATATATATATATATATAGATAGATAGATAGATAGATAGATAGATAGATAGATAGATAGATAGATGGACAAAGATAGATAGATAGATAGATAGATAGATAGATAGATAGATATGGACAAAGATAGATAGATAGATAGATAGATAGATAGATAGATAGATAGATAGATGAGATTAATCGATCTATACTTCCTCCAGTTTGATTTCCGGACACAAAATGTTCTCCGTAAAATGATGTTTGCCAAAATCAAAAATATTTATCATCATTTAAAATCGTTTCAGCCAAAAGAATCAATAAATAAGTCAAATGTTATATTGTCAAACTATAATGTACCTTGACGTCTTGTCTTGTTCTGGGTGCGTCGTTGTATCTCGACTTCCGGGGATTGATGATGTTATCTTCAATCTCTGCACACCGAATCCAAGACATAAGTTCGTACACGAAAACTTTTTCTGCCAAAAGTTGAAGCCACCTTCATTCCTTGTTTATTTCCCGCGCTGAATCCAAAACAAACCACAATGAAACCTGGAATTAAAAAGTTTTAAGTTACTCGGTCATTCAGGGTCAAAGAACAATGTTTAGTCGTGCTGACGTTGGCGAGCCGTAATGAGTATCTTCGATAGGATGTAAGATATTGGTATTGATAGAAGGATAGACTGACCGACAGTTGACACTTTGTAATGGGCGGACGTGACTCCAGGAGACTTTGACTTATAAGCAGGGTAAACAAATCTCAACAGCTAGAGAAAAGAAAAGAAAAACTGATAAATGAAACAGTATTAACTTGTAGAGCGTAAAGGCCAAAGACGAGATTTGTAAAAATGTATTTAGTTGCACAAGTCACTGTCAGAGAGGACTTCTCGTTGATTAAACTAGACTAGCTGCAGTAGTCCATCGGTATCCACAATGGTCTAATTCCAGAACCTCCTGTGAATACCAATCCCCAGGTGTTTAAGAATCATATTTAAATGGTTTAGGATTTGCGTATAACTCACAGACATCGTCCCGACGAGTTTAAAGCATCTCGACATTTCAATGTAAATGCGATGTAATTGATACACGGACAAGTTTTTCTACCACTTTAATATATTCGTATCCATTCCATCCAATTTGTTTAAACCTTGTTAATCGTAGCCTTAATTTTGACTAGGATTTTTTTCATCATTTTGTTACATCTTTCAGCAATAATTGGTAAATTCTATGCCAACAGTTTCTTCTCTAGCAGTTATCACTCCTGGAAATGTCTTCCGGCTTTTGTTTTCCAATAATCCAAATTAAATTTTTCGTCCATGCATTGAATATGACTGTTTCATCTGATCTGGTGCTTCTGCTATATATTTAGAAATTGTTGATGTTATACAAAGAAGATTCTGCAAGATTATTGGTCTTGATCTGACATCTCGGCTTCATTCACTGTTCTACATTCGTAAGGCAACTTCGATGTGCCTTTTCTATAAATATTTTCCTTGTAATTTTTCTGATGTTTTTACTTTTATTCCCAACCTCTACAAACAAATTGTAAATATGAGAATTAGTTAGGGCTTCATAGTTACTGTTCATTCTTTCAAATTTATTATGTCATCATTTGTGAAAAAAAAGTGATGAGTATATATATATATATATATATATATATATATATATATATATATAATTATTTTATAAAAATTTATAACATAAGTATGATGATTCTGATCTTTTAAGAATAGTAAGTATATATATATATATATATATATATATATATATATATAAGTGGACACTGTGGTCAACACCAAGTGTTGATAATGTTTCATGCTTTAACGCAATATTCTTTTATATTTAATATTTATATTTACACATACACTCTATCTCTGATATTGAGCACTTTTACCCATAAATATCGCATAACAAGTTATAGGTTTATCATATATAATAATAATAATAATAATAATAATAATAATGGACACTCCCGTCGGTTTCGACGTGTGAGGATCTGCCAGTTAATTGATTCAGCTATGAAAGTTTATACGCTAATCTTAAGTGGCATTTAAGACCCGCTAGTGATTTACAAAGGAGGCCACATATGGAGCAAGTGTGAGGATTGTGAGATGAGATCATTGTTAAATTGGTTCACCTTTTAGATGTTGCCCTCGCTTCTTGAAGATGATTCAGCAAGCATATTGAAAATTGCTGAGTCTACTAAAACACACACACACACACACACACACACACACACACACACACACACATATATATATATATATATATATATATATATATATATATATATATATGGGTAAATTGTCGCCATTTCATATTTTTAATTTCGCACAATGCGTGTGTTGGTTTTGATTTCCTCGACTGTACAGTAGGGTCAGTTAGTCACTGTCTGTGAGAAAAAGATCACCATGGCGCAATTCCCTCAGACAGAAATTTAGAGCTGTACTGCTTGGCATTCGCACCTGAAGCTCTAATACAAACATTTCAAAGTGTTTGAGCGTCAATCTGCGAAAGGTACAGAGTATTCGGAAAGACATGCATAAGTCTAATGATGATTACGAAGATTCGGTAGCTGGGAAAACTCACACAGATCATTCGGATAAGAAAGGAACTCCGGAATTTGTGGTGAGATCCTCAAACTCAACACGGAGGAGGTAGTGCTGCTCTGGGTAAAGAGGGTGGATGCTTGAAGACCCTATGTCTGTACCATGCAACACAAACCGGAGAAACCAGTTTATGGCTGTCAGATAATTTCTGCGACTCTTTACGTCTGGCCATCTAATTCCCAGCTGCAAACCCCTTTGATTATTATGCGTGGGAGTAATTCAGCGAGAGACCAACAAAACTCATTGTGAATGCTGTCACAATCCTTGCCTTCAGTTCATGCCTGGTGTAGGCATGAACTGAAGGCAAGGATTGTGACAGCATTCACCAACTTATACAAGAAGACCGTCCAAAAAGTTGCAGAAGATTACGAAGTCGTCTGGGTGCCGTAGTTGAAGCCAATGCCAATTTTACTGAGTAAATTTCCTCTCTCGTGTTTCATGATATTAAAAATGAGAAGCCAAAGTTATTTTCATTTTTGTGTAATTTAGACGACAGTTTATCCATTGCTCTCTCACTCACTCTCTCTCTCTGTCTGTCTCTCTCTCTCTATATATATATATATATATACATATTTATATATTGTCATCCACAGTCAGACTGTTTCGTTATATCACAGCTTATCAGTGTGATAAGACGTCCGAACTAGCGTTAAATTGGCGCACGGCAGGTATGAAGGTGAATTTAAGCGTATTTATTTTTTAATAAACACAGAGTCACCGAGAGAACTCGATTCGCTTTATCGAAGAGTCTTGCATTATAAGCTGTAATAGTCACTGTTTACAAACTCACACTTCCTTCCCAGAGAGCACAACCGAAATAAATAAATCCACAGAGAGACTTTTCGCTATACATATATATATATATATATATATATATATATGTTTTATATTACTATAAAGATTAATTTTAGTGGGTACACATCCCTCTTATCTGTTTTTTGTTTTCAGTGAAATTAATATCAGTTAGTCTAGATCGAGAAATCCTATTGAAGAAAAATGTGCCTCCCGTCAGGTATGAAACCTGTATCCCTTTTACTCCACTTTTCACCAGGGGAACAAATCCTACAGCCAAAGTAGTGTCGACCCAAATATGTAGATCCACAGAAATAACGTTTGCAGTAAGATGAAATAATGTCGGTTTAAAAATATCGATTTCAAACTTACTGTATATATTTTTCCAGTTTGTGTATACAACGTTTAGGAAGAAACTGACGAAAGTTTATAATCTTTTGTTCGAATCCTTTCAACTTTCCCTCGCCACTCTCCGGAAATACGACAGCTTATACGCAAAGAAGGAGAATTTAACAGATAGACCTTGTCAGTTGAATTCAGTAAAACATGTTTAAATGAACCTTCGTACCGTAGTATATATATATATATATATATATATATATATATATATATATATATATATATATATATATATATATATATATATATATACACAATAGGGCCAACCAACAGCATAATATTCTGCTTTTCAAAATAATCTATGTAAAACATGAGACGGATGAAGAACGTTTGAGCGAGGGTGCCCTCTGGTGGGTGGGGGTTTGTAATATGTTTCTCTTGAAGGCAAGAGACGTGTGGTTGTGGCCGGCTGGAAAAGGGGGTAGCAGTTCGAACATACGACGACAAACAACAAACGGACGGGTTGACATTTTTACCTATTTTGTTTGCG